GTGGTCCTAGTGAGTCCTAGTGCATGAAGCACGCCAAGCCTGAGTAGGATCTGTAGGACTCGTCACGTGATTCCTTTTCGTACGGCATTCCCATTCTCTCGTAGATTACTCGTTAAACAAATGCAACGGCGAAATGCCCTCCACATTCTGAGGCTGGTCGTAACATTAGAGTTATAGTAATTTATTATCTATAGTTACTCAAAAACTTATTGATAAGCTTACCTAGGTATATAAAACTTATATAAGCTACTTCCTTTCTTATTATCCTTATAACTAAATGCTATAGATATGTCTAGATCCCCTTATCTACCAACAGTAACACCACCCAACCTCAACTACCTCCCTTGTCGGTAATTAAGACACTAAAATGTATTATAGCATCGAGAATCCCTCTAATATCCATCTCGGCGTGATTTCATAAAGGCTCCAGGCTAAGAACATCACACCTGCCTCTCAGTAATACATGGCTAGCGTAGGCGTGAAGATCAATGCCAACCTCAGTCGTACCACATGTATCACGAAGTCTCAAGCCGTTCCTGAGATCGCACCATGGGCTGCCTCGATCCCTAAGATGGCGGATGACGCTGACGTCTCTCATATCGCCTTATTGAGGTTTCAGATCCTCTACTGATGGCGCATTCCGATACTTTCTCATGCCTTGAGCGATGAGTAGTGAGAGCTTGGTGCGATGCGGCCTGCGGGCTAGATGATCCTTTTGATCACCAAACATAATTTTCTAGCGAATTAGAGACAATGTTCAAATTAAGCTCGAAGCTCAGAACATGCATTTTCATTTGCATTGACATCCGCTGGGATGAAGGATAAATATCTATAGAGAAGAAGAAAAATCATGAGATCGTGCCGCAAGCGTCGTGTTCTCAAAACCAGTTCCACAAAGGAACATAAGAAGAAGAATAGTGCGTCAAACACCGTTACCGAAGCAAATTCGTGCCGTTTTCCGTTTTTGTCTTGACCCTAGAGCTCAGGTCATAGTCCACCCGAAATCATGCCCATAAAAGAAGGCTTGAAGAAAGATGAAGAAGTTATCTAAGAAGAAAAGTCCCTGGCGTGGCGCCTGGAGTTGCTGGAAGCAACAGATGCGATTTGAGGTCCAGGAGCATCAGGAGCAGTCTGGCCAGCCTTGTGCCAGTAAAGGTCCCACTTGAGGAGCGGGTCGCTGGCCTTGTACAGCTCGGTACCCTTCTTTCCAGCAGGGACCTTGGCGCCATTCTTACCTCCAGTAACCTTGATGTTGAAGGCTTGCGGCCAGAACTGACGGTTGCTGACATCACCATTGTTGTGGATGGAGACAACCTCGGTTCGGAGGACGTAGTTTTGGCTGGGAATGTCAGATGGGATCTTGACTTTCTGAGTGTTGCCGTTGTCGTAGAAGATGGCGTCGGTGCCCCAGTAACCGGTTTGTTCTTGGGGTGAGCCAGACGAGTAGCGGCCCTTGCGGTAGTCGATCAGGGCGGACTCGTGGATCTTGAAGAACTGGAGAGTCGTCTTGTCGACCTTGGCACAGTCGCCGTTGCAAGGGGCGAGGTAAGTGGCAGTCCAGCCATGGTGGGAGCAGTCCCAGCCCTCTTCGCCGCCGCCACAGCTGCCTTCGTGGTGCCAGTGGAAAGTGACATCAGATCCAGCGGGGACTGGAACAGTGTAAGGCGAGGGGGAGGCGTCCTTGTGAGCAATGATGTCGGGGTGCGCAATTTTGTCGCCATATACGGGCTGGTATCCCCAGCCTTGGGCCGTCCACCAAGCAGGAGACTGGTTACCAGGATCGACCTTGCTCGCCTGACGGTAGCCTTCATAAGTCTTACCTCCAGCCTCGAACTTTTCAACAGAAGTGTGGCCCGCAACGGTGGAGATGAGGGCTGCGACAAATGCAGTGGTCTGGAAGATCTTGGACATGGACATAATGGCGGTAATTTACAAAAAACGGTTTGTTGAGGGTATTGATGGCGAGATAACGCAAAAGGGTATAAAAAGAATGACGAAGAGCGAGTTTTTGATAGCACCTGGCTATGAAAGAGTGACTGGTCAAAGACTGACTGCGGAAAGAATGACTTGCTTGCTGGAGCGTGAGGAAAAATGAGACCAGACGGGGAACGAAAAGACCTTATGTATAGTCGAAATAAGGGCTAAAGGGTCCCACAAGGAGATCCAGACGCTTCTTCGACCCCCCCTTCCCCCCGCATTTCCCGAAAAGCAAGAGAATCGTTTACATTGTGGCTTCTGCCGGCACCGGCTTGCGGCCTGCTGACGCCCACACCCACTGACGCCCCATTACGTGGGATGTGTGCCTGACGCTAATGTAGGTACAGCAGAACTAGAAGGACACTTGGGTCACCAGGGTGTTGAACGACCTTTCCTAGTGGTCTCGGTCTTGGGCATCCTGTCGTCTCCACTATGTCGCTGCGGCCGCCTTGGCCTCTTTTCTGTTGACTAGATCGGCACGATTTGTTCCTGAACCAAATATCCACAGGTCTCGACGACCCCCCTCAAGTCTTTTCAGTGGAATCCGGAGGGGGCCGAGATACATCTAATAACCAACAGGACGAATCAGAAGGCAGTGACGTTGGGTCTTCTTTGGTTCAAAATGACCAAGCGTGCTTTTCTTGTGGTCGGGCCACCTCTCGGCTCGCCGTCTGGTGCCAACAGGGGTTGTACGGGGCTCCCTTTGCCGTACGCCAACCGCACAACGCCGTCGTTTCAGCCATCAGCCTCAAGCGAAAAGAGCTATCGATAAGCAGCCTATTGACGTGTGTAATACTCTCTCAACACGCGGATGGCGTCCGCAGAAAGTGTGGTTCGCTAAGGACTCACCTCTGTTTGGAAAGACGCTGTGCAATGTTTCAGGATTCAGGAGTCAGTTGAACCCCACTGAGTTCGTAATACGAGCACGAGGCGCGCGCTTTGCCGGTTGTCTTGGTATGCTCCGCCTATCATGGGCCAGACGGTCAAGAAATCGCCCAAGAATCGGCGAGTCCTATTAGACCAAGCTTCAACCACCAGCTTAGCATAGCCTTGACATACGGCTCCATCTTCCGGACGCCCTATCCAGCCTGCTTGTTGCCCGTTTCGAGAAGCATTTCAGTATATGAGCTTCATGACCAACTGACACTTTGTGCTTCCACATGAAAAAGTCTCGTGCCTATTCCTTGCGAGACATTTGGTGCCGTGCGATCCTCGATCCTGATTTCGGTGGGCTACAGGCAACCCATATGTCAAGATTGGTGTTTTGTCTGTGATGATCTGAATGGGGATTCAGCTTGAATCGTACCTTTCGCAAGGATGCCTGAGGCAAAAGGCAAACATCCAGTCTCTGGGTTCGTACACCAAGGTCGCCTAATGAAATTTCCGAATGTTTCTTTTGACGGGCTCTAGTGCAGCTGCCAGTGCTCAAACCAACTGAGGTCCAATGAGCACCACGTATCTCTCACTACTCGATGCTTATTCCAAAGATTGTTGATGCTATATGTTCATCTGCCACCCTTCCTAATTTTCTGCAACTCAACTTTTTTTTTCGTCCTGATTGCGAATTTAATCTCGGAAATCGGTGCCCCAACACCACCAAACATGCCTTTCGTGTATCAGGAAACTGTTGTTGCATCCTTGGTGTCCATTCTCAGTGTCAGGCTTGCACTCATTCCATTTTCGCTCAAAATGCACGCACTCAAGCTCAACATTCCTTGCTTATATACGCGAATACGTGTAATAGTTAGCTAATAGAGGTAGTAGCTTTACGCGCAAGGTTCCACTTGGTGCTCTGTCACTCAACACAAACCCCTCCTTTGAGCTTGGCGCAGCTTGGTCCTCGTGGTCGGCTGTGTCGCGCATTGACGTCGAAGGCCCGGTACCACAAGATGTCCGGATCGGAAGCCACCCATTATGGTTATCGCCATTCTCGCTTTTGTCGTTTTTGGATGTTTCGTCCGATGCAGCGTTGCTACTGGCATTATGGCTGTATGACTTTGCCTCGGTGCAGCGTGCTAGATATGACTCCACACATTTCTTGGATGACGCGTCCATTGCTTGTGTTGCATTCTCAATAAACGCACGCGCGCAAGTTCTTCGTATCCTGCCTGTTGCAGATTACTTACGAATCAACGAAGTTGCCGAGTTCTTGTTTCATACTTGGCTATTCCACTTTGCTTGTCAGTACGCGACTAATCAAGCTCATGTGCAGTGTCAATCGAAAGTTGCCAGCTTGAACACATATTTAAATGCAAGCTCGCCACTGCATCTCATACTAAGCTCCAATGGCGTCTGAAGAAATCCAAGAGTGTTGACTCAAGTCCTCATAACAGGGTCGGTGTGAACATGGAGATCCAGCTTATCCTGACATTGCTCTACTTCATTTGGCAGCCGAAAAAAACAGTATGAGAGGTGCTGAAATAACGTACTTCAGGTCCAAAGCCCAATGACTTGATCCGGCAACTCGCAGCATAGATGTTCAGCTGGCCACTCGACCTGCAGTTTTATTAGAAAATACTGAAACCTCCGTCATACCAGCTCGCTATATGTATCCAGGCTACTTGATCTTCCAGTAAAGTAAACCCGATGAACCATACTAGGTGCAAAGCAGCTCAGATATTGGAAACATGTTCGAACCTTGCCATGCGTGCAGAGATCTAGACACTGCAGTATCCACTTTAGCCATGTCTAAAAGCCACCACCACCGCCACCATCACATTGACATTAACTTCCTCGTATACAGAGAAGTCGTCCTTCCACAGGAATGAGAATCGCAAGTACCAACGGTCATTGCAAACTTTGAGGCAGACGGATCAAGATATTTCACTCTACCATGTGCTTTCTCCACTCAAACAAATAACATCCTACCTTGACTTCGACAATAGTTATTGTCACTCGTGTATATATTGGTGGGAGCAAAATCTACGTTCCCATACACATAACTGATCGATTTGTCTATAGTGGTATGAACATCGGCTGAGTCTTGGTGGGGTTTGTCGTTTCCAAGTGCCTTAACTTCCCAGGAAAATCAATCCATTTGCGAATCTGATAAATTTAATTTTGCCATGCTGGTACATACGACCATCGGCGAAATCTAGCACTGGATCCCGTTCGTTCTCCGCACGTTAAGTCTTCGACCGGCGGACTAGTAGTCAGGTGGGTGAC